TTAATATATATTATACAACTGATTATCATGGAATAGACAGATATATCCGATACGAATACATTTTACAGTCATGAAACTCATTGGTATACTTGTAGGAAATTGAATTCGATTACAATACATATAAAACATATATATTATGTATGTATATAAACGTGATTATTTGTTTTGTTGTTTTAGCTATCGCTCATAAACGTAGCTACGTTTTATAGAATTATAGACCAGAAGTCCAATAACACAACCAGTAGAAGACCGAGGTGTTTCGATAATATCCTGTCACCTTCATCATTTCTTTATGAAGGAGACAGTGTAGTTATCGAAATGCCACACTTAAATCTTCTACTTGTGTTATAAGAACGTCTCATCTATTGACATTATCAACATGAGAGTAACCGGATTTCATTTAATGTTAATATGCAGTTAACAGCAGTGAGGATTAAATCGACCTGAAGAGTAAATGCATGTTAAAAACTGTTTGGTTTTATCTAATATTTATCTTGAATAAAAATGATAGATAAATAGGTAAGCGAAATAAATAAAAATAGATAAATTTAGCTCCAACTTTGCGACCGACCTATGATCAATATTAATATCGTTTTAATATACGAGTTATCTCCCTTCGGCTGTCTTGGCTCTAAATCAAAGTATTCCGACTAAGAGATATTTTATAATGTTTCGTTAAAATCCGCCTATTGTTGAATGGTATTATATGCTGTACACGTCATTGAACATAAAATACAAAAGTTTGATGTATGGTTGGAAATTCAGCATTGAAAATAAGTATTTCTGAGTATGGATTCAAATAGCAGCACCGTTTAGTAAATTCCAGGAACATAACACGACACAAGCAGTAAAAAACAGTTTTACTCGCGGGGACGTTTCATGTTACCAATTATGGAATACAACATTTTTCATTTCACTGAATCAATGATTTTTCAAAATTTATTAAAATAAAAAAAAACAATTTGAAACTATCAAGTATGTGAAGTTTACAAACTAGACATGTCTTTAATAATCATACATCACTACTTACAAATTTGCATTTCAGGATAATTTCATATTTGATCGTTCATGATGATCTACACTTACATCGTTGAAACCAATATAGCATGATAAATTACAGTGTTTCATATAAGAAAAACACCGTTTGCAAAGGATTAAATTTAATAAACCACTTTTCTACCCATTTTTTATCTTAAACTAAGTCGTTATCGGTTTTGTGTTTCAATGGCCAAAAGGAAAGTTCCACAATAAGGAGGTGTCATATTCAAATGACTTTAAAGGATTACAAAGTTTATGAATATATAAAAAAAAAACATTTACTTGACCTAATACTGATATTTAAGTATTTTACTTAATAATCAGAAAACATTTGTTAACCCAAAACCCCAGTCCCTACCCCCACCCTTCTTTCATCACACTGACTGTGACTCTTGCGTCACAGTGACTGTGCCTCTTGCATCACAGTGACTGTGACTCTTTCATCACACTGACTGTGACTCTTGTATCACATTGACTGTGACTATTGCATCACAGTGACTGTGACTCTTGTATCACACTGACTGTGACTATTGCATCGCAGTGACTGTGACTCTTGTATCACACTGACTGTGACTCTTGCGTCACAGTGACTGTGACTCTTGTATCACACTGACTGTGACTATTGCATCGCAGTGACTGTGACTATTGCATCACAGTGACTATGACTCTTGTATCACATTGACTGTGACTATTGCATCACAGTGACTGTGACTCTTGTATCACATTGACTGTGACTATTGCATCACAGTGACTGTGACTCTTGTATCACATTGACTGTGACTATTGCATCACAGTGACTGTGACTCTTGTATCACACTGACTGTGACTATTGCATCGCAGTGACTGTGACTATTGCATCACAGTGACTGTGACTCTTGTATCACATTGACTGTGACTATTGCATCACAGTGACTGTGACTCTTGTATCACATTGACTGTGACTATTGCATCACAGTGACTGTGACTCTTGTATCACACTGACTGTGACTATTGCATCACATTGACTGTGACTCGTGTGTTTCATCTTGTATCCTCTTGTAATTTATTCATTGAAGTTAAGAGACTTGGTTTGTTTTACAAATGATGATAATAACGTCATCTTTTAAGACTGTATTATGTTTATTTTAACTATTGGATGATAAACACCCAACGTTGTAATCCTTATGTAAGGATCGGATGTTTATATATTTGTAACCAACGTAATGTATGTATAATTTGCCATACATCAACTCCAGATATTTGAAAACATTTTTTATGATATGTACAATGTGTTTTATCATCAGCAGAAACATTTCGGTGGAGAGATTTTATCACTACTGTTTAGTTGTCTAATTTCGCGGGACTAATATTTCGCGATTATCCACGACCTGGCAAGTTCATTGATAATAAATTTTATGCAAATCTATCAAGTGGTTACCGGTGTGAATTTAATTTGGCGCTTTAGTTCTATGACCGCGAATATAGAGAAATTAAACATCCCGCAAATATTACCCACTGTACAGTATATATATACAATATACAACTGCATGGTATCAAACCTAACGCATGAAGTTTAATAAAGAGTGTATGATAAAATTTATGATGTTTTTATTCTAATTGGTTGATTGAATAAACATATAACACATAAATACACAATTGGATAAATAATCCGAATGATTGAGGAAACTGCTAGACCATTTCTTCATTGTACAATGTTAAAAATTTCATTGCATACTTTACGTATATTCTATATTTCATTAAAACAGGCGCCAGTCTTCTCTAAGATAGGTATATAAAATAATTCAGCAGTACACATAAGAAAATACCAATTCTGAAGGCGGTATATAATATTTCAGAACCGTTCTTTTTATCTAAATTTGAATTGTACACTAGGTCATGTTTTTTACTCCAGTAGCTGAAACATTATAACAGAAAGACCGGAAACAAACATTTATAATGAATTACTTCTGCTTTTTCTGATAGACTTGTAACTGCAATAGAAACATTGTTGTGCCTATAAAGAGTCCTATAAACCGGGTTTCTGGTTACAGCAGTCTGAATCTATTTTATTGTTAACTATTGTATCAGTGTAATAACTGTTATCTTTTATATCAGTGTAATAACTGTTATCTTTTATATCAGTGTAAAAACTGTTATCTTTTATATCAGTGTAAAACTGCTATCTTTTATATCAGTGTAAAACTGTTATCTTTTATATCAGTGTAATAACTGTAAATCTTTTATATCAGTGTATATCAACTGCTATCTTTTATATCAGTGTAAAACTGTTATCTTTTATATCAGTGTAATAACTGTTATCTTTTATATCAGTGTAATAACTGTTATCTTTTATATCAGTGTAAAAGCTGCTATCTTTTATATCAGTGTAATAACTGTTATCTTTTATATCAGTGTAAAGCTGCTATCTTTTATATCAGTGTAAAACTGCTATCTTTTATATCAGTTATCTTTTATATCAGTGTAATAACTTTTATCTTTTATATCAGTGTAAAAACTGTTATCTTTTATATCAGTGTAAAAACTGCTATCTTTTATATCAGTGTAAAGCTGCTATCTTTTATATCAGTTAAAACTGTTATCTTTTATCAGTGTAAAACTGTTATCTTTTATATCAGTGTAAAAATCTTTTATATCAGTTAAAAACTTTTATATCAGTGTAAAACTTTTATATCAGTGTAAAAACTGTTATCTTTTATATCAGTGTAATAACTGTTATCTTTTATATCAGTGTAAAACTGTTATCTTTTATATCAGTTTTATCTTTTATATCAGTGTAAAAATCTTTTATATCAGTGTAAAACTGTTATCTTTTATATCAGTGTAAAACTGTTATCTTTTATATCAGTGTATCAGTGTAAAATATCAGTGTAAAACTGTTATCTTTTATATCAGTGTAAAACTGTTATCTTTTATATCAGTGTAAAAACTTTTTTCTTTTATATCTTTGTAAAAACTGCTATCTTTTATATCAGTGTAATAACTGCTATCTTTTATATCAGTGTAAAACTGCTATCTTTTATATCAGTGTAATAACTGTTATCTTTTATATCAGTGTAAAAACTGTTATCTTTTATATCAGTGTAATAACTGTTATCTTTTATATCAGTGTAATAACTGTTATCTTTTATATCAGTGTAAAACTGCTATCTTTTATATCAGTGTAATAACTTTTATCTTTTATATCAGTGTAAAAACTGTTATCTTTTATATCTTTTATATCAGTGTAAAAACTGCTATCTTTTATATCAGTGTAAAACTGCTATCTTTTATATCAGTGTAAAACTGATATCTTTTATATCAGTGTAAAACTGTTATCTTTTATATCAGTGTAATAACTGTTATCTTTTATATCAGTGTAAAAGCTGCTATCTTTTATATCAGTGTATTAACATCCGTTGAATAAGTAATGTTATTGCCACATATATCTAATATAATGGTTTAATTTGATACGTCATAACCTCATGGTCCACACATATTCTGACGTCATCAAAAGATGAGGTATGGAGTGAGAGTGCCCAAATATCATTCTGATAAAAAGTTGTTTAGATAATGCCGGCTAAAGTTTCAAAATAATATGAGTTTTTTTTATACTTTTAGGAATGAATCATCGACGTGAACACGTTTCTCATTTGAATAGAAAAAAAGTGCCAGCACACAGTATATAATCACAACGAAGGATGCAAAAATAATAGTTAACAAGGATTGTAGTCACAGACTGCCAGATGAGAGATTTTCCTTATCGGAAGTTGAACAATAATTCTATGTTGTGTCAATACAGGTAAAGAAAAGGTGGGTCAATAGTCTGAGACACGTGTGTTCCAACATCATAGACATCAAAAGTAGGTTATACCATCGTAAGAGATTAGAAGACCGTTTTGACAGGACATTGTGTGGCACCATCGATAACGACCAACTACTCAAGGTTTACCTTGAAGCCTACACTTCACCGGAAAGAAGCTATGATGGCGATTAACGTATCGTATATAGGAGTAGGTATGGCTGTCGTTTCGGTAAGTGTTACTCAAGGTATATTGTTCTGCTTACCTGAATACATTTACATTATATTGAGAGATATAATTCATTACAGGGTTTGATATATTTTAATTATGTTTTATTGAATTCTATAATTAAATGTACTTTGTTTATTGGGAAATCGGTGAAACTGATTACATGTCAATCTGAATGGTGTCCATTTTAGTTCAATACATGATGTTGATTTGGTATTTGCATGGCTAAGTTGTAATTTAAGATCGATTTTAGGTGATAACAGCTATGACTCCTGTGCCAGTATCACCGTACCAATGTGAAAGTGACAGCGATTGTAATCCTGATCAGTGCTGCTCCAAGATTCCTAGGATTATGGCCGTGAGCAGACGACAGCTAGCTCCGATCCCAGATCTTCAGTACATAGTCAGATGTATGTGCTGAATCGGAAATTTAGATAATGAACAAAATCCGTCATTATATAACTATTTGAATAACACACCTTTCCTTCCAATCTACTCATATACTGGAAATGATATTGATAAAACCTACAGTCCCGTTTAATATATACACACCAGGAATATTGAAAAATGTCGATATTTTCCAAGAGTGCGGAGCGCGAGATCAAATATCGGCATGTTCTGTCTAAATGAATGAACTATATATACTTATAGCGTTTTTACTGGTGACAAATAGGAATTTCTCAGTTTGCTAATTTGTAGTGGTACTTTCGTAGTTTTGACTAACCAGTACCACGCTGTCTAGTTTCTGCATTGAAATCCTACGTTTTTCCCATTCGGACGCAAATGAAGCGTAGGTTGGACACTTGCAGAATAAGACGGATTAAATCTATAATTTCACGAACCATTATATATCCTCTATATGTATGATATTCGATAAAAAAACTATCAGAAATCCACAAACTATAAAACATGCTAAGTATGTCTCACGCGAAGGTTTATTCCCATTTCAAATTTGTTATTCAACTTCATTATTACGTTTCCACTGGAATCTGTTTGAAATTGCATGGTGCCCCTTACATATAACGCATATTGCTGATATATTTTATTTTTGTATTCGTCATGGCAAAATGTAGGTAGGTCAATAAAATGCGAAGTATGACATCAACTTTTGACCTGAAGACTTGATATCGATCATTCTCCTTCACTTTTCGACTTGAAATGTTCAAAACCCATTTAACAAAATGCTACCTATCTGTGTTATTTTGATTCAATAACAATGACCGCCATTCAATAATACAGAAAATAACTGGAGACAATGTACGCACAGACTCGCAAATCTAACACTATACCTGTAACAAGTGAACAATAAACTGACTTAAACCAGTTTTTTCCAGCGAGACTTCAAAACTAAAAATTCAAAGATGAAATCCAAATCAATCATGGAAAAGAAAGGCTGCCTGTTGCCTTCTTAATCCCCAAGGTTTGCTGTAACCTGCATGCCACGTTTTATTTCATTCGAATATTGGCTCAGTTCAGAAGGCACACATGAACTTGAAGTTCTTTTGAAATTGTTAAATATATAAGAAAAAATAATGTATTTTGACATTTCATGATTTTCCTCGGTCGCCTTTTAAACTTAGAAAATACTATCACTTCACAGAGGTGCGAAACAGCTGTGTTTTGCAGTTTATTTTATCATTTGGCCCACTATATCATATTACAAATCTATATTGAAAGGGGATTTTTTTTATATAATATTCGTTTTTGTCTAGATTCTAAAACCTTAAAAGGAAGTTTCGCGTCTAGTAACATTTTGACGTGATCGATGACTGAATTATAAGTCTGAAGGTCGAATCGTGATCAGAAAAGGCGCTTAACACAGCCATCCTACCTTCACTGTATCATTCGTCTTTGGATAGGTCAACAGTGTCATTTCTGATATCTACAGTAACTGTTACTGACTCTATTTATCAGCAGTTAAGAAATTGTTGGTTAACACTTCATAACTGCCAACAGGAGATCGGAAAATTTAAAATTCCTACAAAAAATAAAAGTTGAATAAATTAAGCATTGAACTATTTTTATGTCATTCATGAGCTCATGAATGCCATCTGAAAAAGGCAAATTACATGAAGGGCGTTAGTGCTTCATGATTAATATTGCCTTTGTCAAGTTGAAAATTCATAAACCCATGCTTTATCACTTCATGATGAATTGTATTTGTCCAGTTGGCATTCATAAGCTCATGAAGGTCAACTGAAAACAGTTCAATACATAAATATTTCAGTTAACAATATTCATTATACCTACCTCGGCAATGAGTAGCATTGCTTAAGTTCAGTGGCCATTATTGCTCAAGCTTTCATTACAGCGTCTTGCAAGCCGTACATACCAACCAACGGATCATGTGTAAATGTGATCAAAGTTAATGGTGACTGCGGCTGCGCACCAGACCATACCTGTAAACACTTTCCGGAGCTAGATCAACTTAACCCTTTCCCTGGAAAACGTGACTTCTTTCCAGGGAATCCCCTGTCATATCAATGTGTTATGAAGACCGTTTGATGTAAAGATTATAGATTTTATCAAGACAACATATGTTTGTATTGTTTTCTTCTCACGCATACATGATTATATTGAAGGGTATGTACTAACGTTATCCAGTATCTTTTTAAGAAAGCAAACGTTATGTACCTAGTCGAAGAACATTTACAACTGTATCACTCGAAACAACATTAAAAAATATCAACATGGCAACATTATTATAATCCAAAATCAAATTCCATGATGATATGAACAAAAGAAAGATATACACGGAGATTCCTGAAAAAGTACAAGGATAATAAGACCAGGTGTTCCGGAAGAGTAAGCGTTTTCTGCTTCACCGAAGGCACCCGCCATGCAAACCTTGGTCAATCCAAGTGAGTACTGTCACGTTCTAAAATGAGAACAATGTATACAAAACGGAACATACAGGAAAAACTAAAGAGCACCCACCACGTTCAGCTTGATATCACACACACACACACACACACACGCACACACACACACACAATCACACACACGCACAATCACACACACACACAATCACACACACACACACACACACATACAATCACACACACACACACCCAATCACACCCAATCACACACATGCACACACACAAAGAATATTTTTCAATGAGATCACTTCATGGTGAATTGTTTTTGTCCAGTTGACATACATAAGCCTAGGATTTTCAATTCATAGTGAATTAATTATACTTGCGTTCAAAGTGTAAAGAATACAGCCAAGTAGCTTATCTATATTGAATACGGATAACATAAGTTTGATGAAAATATCAGATGTATGTATATTTATGTTAAAAATCAAGAAAAATACCAGCATATTAAATTAATCATAATCCAAACTCAAATTCAATAAATCTAAGGCAAAATACATGAATGCACAAAAGAAAGATTTACACGAAGTACAAGATAATAATACCAGGTGTTCCAGAATGTAAAGCGTCTTCTGCTTCATCAACGCTATGCAAACCTTGGACAATTCAAGTAAATAATGTCACGTTCCCAAATGAGAACAATGTATACAACAACGGAGCCAACAGGCACACTAATGAACATCAAACACGCCCAGCTGCATATCCCAAAAAGAAATAGAATATTTCTCAATTAGATCACGATGACGACTGTAAAACGTGACCATAATTTTCATCAACTTGCATTTTTTTAATTCTGTGTTACGAGTTTGTTGGTCAGTTGACGGCTTTTTGCCCTGAAAATCTTGAACACACTTTTACAGAAAAAAAAACTTTACCAAAGTCTTTGCATGTTTTCTATTAGAAATGAAGTAAAATCATTTTGTGGAGATCACGTAACACGTTTTCTTCTAACTTGAACATACATGTGATGCATACCAATCCATGTTTTGAACGGTTCATATCTTGTTGACGTTACCGCCTCCATCTCGTTTTCGATAGCAACACCATTCGGCAATTCTCGGACAAGCTTTAACACTTTTTTTTTTTAAAAATGTCCGAAATCTACTGTCCGAAACAAGCAGCACGTTTTTGATAGGACGTTAAAAAACACTTGCCCCAGATAACCAGAACGACGATTAAAGGGGACTCCGTCAGATCCACGTGTCACGAGGTATAAAGAATACAAAGAAAAATAAAAATCTTTATTTCAATTAGGTTAAGGCCAATAGTGTCAACAGTGGTACCAAAACACACGTGTAACAAGTAGCTATATCTCATTAGGACATTTAAAAAAAAACATTGGCCGAATTTCATACCTAGTTAGATTCTTTATACAAGACTACAGGAATATAAGTCGTCCACTTTTTTAAACTATACATAAACTTGTGATCATGTAAAAGTACTAACGTCCCATAGTGTTTGACTTGTCATTGTACTACGGTGGTTTATGCCTGACATTTCGCCTTTTCTTTTTTTTTGGTTTTTGTTTTTGTTTTGTTTTTGTTTTTTGTTTTTATATTTTGTTTTTGTTTTTGTTTTTTGTTTTTTTTTTTTTGTTTCCGCGAAAAGATTTTCGTCTTTTTTTATTTATCTATTTTTTTCCCCTTTTTTGGCGAGTTTTCGTCTTTTCGAATTTTCGCTATGGCGAGGTTTCGTCTTTTCGAATTTTCGCTTTGGCGGGTTTTCGTCTTTCCGTTATTTCGTTTTTTCCGCCCGGCGTTGTTTCGTGGGAAATAAAGCGAAAAGACGAAATGTCAGGTATTAGTCACCATATTTGTGTTTATGGAAGGATTGGTTCTCTCAAGGACAACGACCAGCTTGATCATGTGACCACACACACCTTCACTCACCGCCGCCTAGGTAAAGATCTTATAAGTACAACGTCTTCAAATGATAAGGCTATTTTCGCTCCGTCAATTTGGCAGACATGACGAACGTCCTCGTTGTCCTTTTTGCTCTTACAGTGGTAACTTATGTGAGTACAATTCTTAATCTTTGTTTGCTTCTGCTAATGTGAAAATATATTTTCTTTTTTTAAGGCAAATCACTGATTTATAAGTATTTCAAAATGTAAAATATAAAAATGCTATAGAGGTTCTTTGTTCGATGAGTACAGAGGATCACAGAGTGACCACACACAACTATATGTACCATGAATTCTGAAATCATCAGGTCTACATCACTTTGATTGATATAATATAATATGGCGGGTTATTTCATCAGAAACGTCCCAGTAAGGTTTTTTTTATAAGGAACGTCTCAGTAAGGACTATCTTATAAGGAACGTCTCAGTAAGGATTATCTTATAAGGAACGTCTCAGTAAGGATTATCTTATAAGGAACGTCTCAGTAAGGACTATCTTATAAGGAACGTCTCAGTAAGGACTATTTTATAAGGAACGTCTCAGTAAGGATTATCTTATAAGGAACGTCTCAGTAAGGATTATCTTATAAGGAACGTCTCAGTAAGGATTATCTTATAAGGAACGTTAATAAGGAACGTCTCAGTAAGGATTATCTTATAAGGAACGTCTCAGTAAGGATTATCTTATAAGGAACGTCTCAGTAAGGATTATCTTATAAGGAACGTCTCAGTAAGGATTATCTTATAAGGAACGTCTCAGTAAGGATTATCTTAGAAGGAACGTCTCAGTAAGGACTATCTTATAAGGAACGTTTCAGTAAGGACTATTTTATAAGGAACGTCTCAGTAAGGATTATCTTATAAGGAACGTCTTATTAAGGGATTTTTTACAAGGAACGTCTCAGTAAGGATTATCTTATAAGGAACGTCTCGGCAAGGAAATCTATAGTCAATTGAGTCAGGAGATATCGTTCATAAAATCAATCTCAATGTGTGTAATCTATGTCATGCGCGATGTAAAATTTCTTCAGCATCATTGAAAGGTATACCATATAACGCATATGTAAATATGGACCCTGTAAGACAATCCTTTAAGTAGAAATTTCAAATATAGCGTACATGTCGATGTAATAGCATTTGTTTTGGCAAGGTATAGGCATGACGTATTTCTGTTAGATTTGACCACTCTTCAAAATCAAAAATTAAATTTATGAAAAAATAGAGTTTGTTATTACAGGCGATATGTCAATATATAAAGATCACGGTGATAGCTAGTGCAGATAATGTAAAATGGAGAACGAACAGATCTAGTTTCATATCACACAGGAAAATTTGATATCTCTAGCATATCTCAAAACTCTTGTCGCCATTTATCACAGAAATCTTGCTTTTACCTACTACAACGCTGTTTGAGAGAATCAAATCATACTGGGCTTTAAATACAACAAATTCAAGAACGGAATGCTGTCTCACTCAGACAGACAGTTTTTCAGGTTCGTTACGTTAGGAGCAGGTATGTTTATATAAACGTTATATAACTTAAGCAGAAAGGACATTAAAAGAATTTATTATGATAATGAAAATGTTGGAAGTACATATTTTTCATCCAGGTGCGACAAGTGTACAATTTCCGAATTTGCTCTTTGTTGATGATAAATTAACCTTTCGTATCCACAGGCTGCCCTGGGCACTCCTACCCCAGATCCGTTTCAATGTAAGGAACACAACGACTGCAGTGCTACACAGTGCTGTTCCAAAATACCACGATATTTTGTGGTGAGCAAGAAAAGACAGTTGTCTCCCCCTATCAGCATGTATGTCAGTGGTACGTTTATTTCACGTTTACAACCATATACCATTCACTATATCATAATTTACTAAGGTCTTCACTTTGCACTGCTTTGAAAGCCGTTCAGTATTTATATAACTTAACGTTATTACATCTGTGTTTATTGTAGCCTCCTGTCAGCCATACCTTCAAGTGAATGAATCCTGTTACAACGTTATGAAAGCGAACGGTGACTGCGGCTGCGCACCGGAACTTATTTGTAAATACTTCCCCGAATTAGACACATTCAACCATATCTTTCAAATGCCATTACCTGAACTACTATCAACCGTAGCCCCAAGCAAGCGGCTGGCAATCCCTGCTAGTCCAGAGGCATACAAGTGTGTATCCAAATCACATCAATAAACTCGTCACAGTCATTGTTTGTTCTGTTATCATGGAATCTGCACCAAAGCAAAATCTATTATATACAGAATCACGTGCACAGAACTTGTCTGATGAACAACCACAAGCTGTAACCGTACATAATAAAAAGGGGTAGGTATATATGATACCAATAGTCTGATATTACATTGTTTATCACATTAACTATTTACATTCTAAATAAGTAAAATATATCCAGAAAGTTGAACGAGGTGTCCCGATATCGTACATAAATAATATTTCAATAGTGGTGCCAGATTTACATTAAGAATTAAATATATTAATCAAATTAAATATATTACGTAAAAGGTATCTTATTAAGGATTAAATACAATAGGAAGATAACGTAAGCTTCACAAAGATAACAAAAATAACGGACGTGGAGAAGAATGACTGACAAGTTCACGGTTTATTGGACAATAATCCATGATGACACATAACACTTAAAACATACATTAAATAAACTTATCACACTGAAAGATTCACGAGCATTACTCAGCAACAGAAATTCCATCTTGAGTCATTTCCCGGAAGAGGTCTCGTGGAATACTACAAACACCGCCATATTGCAGACGTGACGTCAAGTTATCAGTGTAAGAAAGTTGTGTCAACTTTGCAGATTTCGACCAGACTGGAAGATGGTTGCACAGAGTCCAGAATGCGGCTGTACTTATCATGCTAGTAAAGATTTTTATGAATATTTGTATATCATGTGACGATGAATTTATCTGTATAGATTGTGTTTTAGATAATTACAAAAGCCACGACCTAGGGATGTTCCAAAGATGGAAGGTAACTTTAAGGGCAACGATGGAAAGAGTAAGGAAAGAAATTATCAATATAGTGAAATGATCCCCGATATCCAACGCAAAGGGGAAGAGATAACAATTAAATCAACCGTCTCACTCATAGATTCTTGATATTTTGTAGATATTGTGAAGACATGAATATAGACATTACAGAGAAGAACAAGGCAGTTAAATTTCTGAAATAGGAAAGTAGACAACAATTTGACAGATGTCAGCAAGTACTGACTTCAGGTAGAAATATTGACGTCATTACAGAAGCGAAATAACTCAAGAGTAACTCACCTGCAAAACCATTTGTTGGACCTTACAGGCAACAGTCTTCAAGCCTTCAAGTCTTCAAGTATTAATTGAATTGCAATATGCTCTAACTTTCCTCGGATACTCATTTTTTGTTTAGTCTTTTTTTTTTTTTCTAGCGTATAAGTATTTTACATTATAATGAAGAATTTACGTATTTTTTCACTTATCCGTACATATGGATTATCTTCAACATTCAAACGGTGAAGGAATGTTAAAATTGCGGGACACGAGAATTACTTATCTCCCAAACGTTAACTGCAGAATCACATGAACTCAGACTTTAAAAAGTTGAAAAGTTTTATTAGTGATAGATATGTAAGAGTTGTTCCCCTTCGTATCGCATTTTGTCAATAGATCGTTGATAATATTGACCAACAACGGGAGCCCTTTCTTATCATCTTTGTTATCCTGTCTATTTGCTGTAAAAAAAAAAAAAAAAATTTTAAATGGACTCAGATTATAAGATGAAAACTGAATCAGTGACGTCAATCTACGAGATATCTTAGAAAGTAATTTGTGCTTTAAAGGCAGCAGACAGAAAACAAAGAATCAAAGGAACGCTTCACTTCCTGGTTAAACCAGTCATGGTTATTGGGTCAGAAAGACAGAAATATTTAATAACACATATTAATTATACATTAATGTACATGGGATTATAGTACAGCCGAAAAAGTTGGTAGATTCTTTACCATCTCATACACTACGTTCGTCAGTGCTAATACGCTCCACACTGGTCGTTTGTCTTATAAAAGTGACTGTGTAGTCATCGAAACGTCACACCCACATTGATTGTGTTATTAGAACTTCTATTCTATTGATATTACCAACCCGACGGATAATAGGATATTTCCCTAGTTTCAGGGTAAGACTGTCCTTCTTTCAAACTATAGAATGATCCTTTTTCTACCCCTTTTCTCCAACATGCTAAACAGATATGAATAATGAAACAAATATTTGCAGAAAATTAATCAGGCAAATAAGGACACTGTTTTTTTTTTTTTTTTTTATCTTAACCGACTTTTTATTTACATGAGGCATTGTACAAAGACAATCGTAATGATAAATTGTAGTCATTATGCAATTAAAATAATTAGAATAAACAAATATGATAATATACCGTCTTAAAATTATTTCAAACCTATCTTAACCTGTCAATATCAATCAGTCACGTCTCTCACGTCTCCAGCCTCAAATTTACAACTTCCGGTTAATCACGTGTTTATGTTCGTTTCGTGCATACTGTCTTACCCTGATAAGATAGAGATATTTTTACCTCATCGGGAGTATGGATGTTTCTGTCCGAAAGGGTAGAAAATGTTCCGAAATATAGCTAATAATGTTATGCGAATAGGAGATTGTTACTTTTAACAGTTACCATTTCTGTAAACATGTGACTAAGAAGCAGGGTCAGTGACAAGCTCGGTTGTATATCTATCTCTATGCTATTGTGTCCTATTCAGAATAACAGAATACCAACAGGTAAACAATTTCGTAACAAGAGGCACATAGGGCTTTTATCGCTCATCTTGCTTCACTTGGCTGAGTTTGCTTCATGAAAGCTAAAGGGAAAGGAAATCCAAATATCCATGCACACAACCTTTAAGGGGTCAGCCAAACTGTTCCTGTAGGAGCAGGATTTTTTTTTTATTTTCCTGTGAAAGAATTTGCTCTATTTCCATTATTTGGCCCCACCCATCGCGTTCAAGGAACCGAGACTAACTGTTTACGCAAAATTGATTTCTATTTGCCGAAGAATGCATCAGACCAAAGTCGGAAAAATTCAATCATTCCCACAGGAGGAGTAGGATTTTACAGAATTGACTCTATTTTCCCTTCTGGACTATATCCCTCTTGCCCCAAGGGCCTAGACCCACTGCTTATACAAAATTGATTTTCTTTCAACAATGCGACTAAATAGTGGGCCGCTGTAGAATCGGTGATATATTTCGTGTCGTCAACTTTGTACATTGAGACATTGAAAAGTGCAAATCCTAACCCCATTACAACTGTTACTGGGATATATATGTTTTCTTGCATTCCTTACTATCCAATTTTTTCTTCTTCGGTTTGTTTTTACTGTTGGAGGCCCTCTTGACCCTTATATGACCCTAAATTTTGCAAGGCGAGACGTACAGCCTGTATCAATGATACATTTTGATGTTCCTTTCTATGGCGGGTTCCGCTTAGAAATGAGGCCGTGACATTGTCTTTCGTCCCAAATCATGAATATATCTGTTTAGCATATTGTTTCAAATGTCACAATATAAATGCATGGTTAAGGACATAGCGTTCATTACTGACATCCCGTCATGATTTCATGTCTGTACATTTATTCATTGGTACATACATATATAGAATTGTAAATTGGCATGTAGTTGTACAATGGCTACATGCAGGTCAAGTTTTATTTACTCTGGAAAAATGATGTTTTCTAAAATTTCGGTCATTGAATCTTATTTTTTTAATGAAAATATCACCAAAATGGTAAGATAAATATTTGAGAGCTTTGTCTTATCCAGGTGCAAAAACAAACATAGATAAAAAACAAAACAAGATTTAGATTTAAACATATTTATTTTGTCAAATAAGTACAAATGGGATTTGGGCACAAGTTTGCTAATTTATATTAAGCCCTTACCCGAAAAATAAAACAATACACATATTCACAAGATGGCATTTTCCATATATATATATATATATACAGGAGAGAGGGTGAGAGAGAGAGAGAGAGAGAGAGAGAGAGAGAGAGAGAGAGAGAGAGAGAGAGAGAGGGCAGGGACAGACAGAGAAGGGGGTAATTAAATACACACATAACTACGTTTTAACATATACAAATATTCATACTTATACTTAGAATGAGAACATTCGGAAGGATCGTTACTTAATACAAAATTAAGACTTTTATACTTAATTAAAGCAGTTTTCAACTTATCTTGAGAGAGAGAATGTGGCAATATAGATATAGAAGAAGGGGATTAGTTAGGACAGAAAGGGAGTGCACGTTATACAATGTTCAGAATCTATAAGTTTCTACAATAAATTGTTGTGTTTTTGTTGTTATTAACACGTTTTTTTGAACGGATAATTCAGTATTACCATGTAGTAAAAGCTGCAGGTCAAGTGGAATAAAATAATTCAGTTCGCGGTAGAGAGTAATTCTCTGACCCGCATAATTATTGCAGACAAAGAAGAAGTGAAATGTATCTTCAATCGGATGTTCACATTGACAGTGACGAAAATCTATTAAATTGGCATGGAATAAGTGATCGTGTAGTGTACTAGAGTTATTTCTCAGTCTGGTATGTAAGATATTACTTTTTCGGTCACCAATTAGATAATATATAGGGACTTTTACTGCATTTTGCCTACGAAGATTATTTTTAAAAACTGTATATGATACACTGTGTCTAATAACGAGATTTAAATGATTCCTGAGTCGGACTGTAGAAGGACAATGCTGTTGACTAAAGTCGATAATTGGGCAAAGAATAATTTTCGGAAAATCGGAGATTATATCGGTGGCGGGAGGGGGTGTCTGATACACACGGGGGTAGTAGAGAGGGAAGATAGTAAGGTGTAAGATTATTATGAATTTTATAGAATAATTGTAATTTCCGTCTAGTTCTTCGTTCGGATAGAGTTTCAAAGCCAGATTCAAGATACAAAGAATTTCTACTAGAGTACGAAGGCAAACCAGTAATGGTCCTCGCAGCCTCTAGCTGAAGTTTTTCTTATTTGTCTGCGTCACCGAGAGTACACCCATCCCATACCTCACAACAGTATTCTAGTATAGGCAGAATATATGATCTGAACATTTTACTTAAAGTTTTCCTATTTAATATGTATTTCAATTTACGTAAGACACCCAATTGT